AAGCGCAGTCGAAGTGAAGAACATGTATACGCCAAGTCCTAACAGATATAGACAAGGATAGCACGCTACATTGTACGCACACATACGCACGATGCACATCGATATTATACTTTTACAATATATTACGCTTCCAAATCTTGATTTGGAGGGTTTATCTATGTTTTTCTTGTTGTGCAATTCGGGAAAACTGTTTTCGCGTTCGTATACCAATGGTATATCTCTTATATGAATTACATCTTGTGACGAGCTGACAGCTCGCTGCAACTCGAGACGCCATATTGAGATAAAAGTAGGATAAGGAAATCTGTACTTCCGTAATTTTTTCTCGTTTTCTATATAAAATCGGAGTTCCCACGAATCATTAATGTATGTACTGTAATTCTGGAGAAGGATTTTTAATTCTGTCAATTTAATACGACGCTACGTGCCGACAAAAATATGCCGGTAAAGCAGACGGCTCCAGCATCCCTTTAAGGTATTCTCTTCATGACACCAAAGTCTTAAGAATTAACTGATTTTTTGGTACGAGAAAGTTAAAATGCATATCTTAACGCCAGAAAAAAATTAAACCAAATTACCGAACATATAAAGAAGAATTATGATTTTGAAAATTCGATATTTTATATGTGACGTTATCGAAAAAGTCTATTTTCCACATTTCAATGTAATAATTTGTTTATCTTAAGATTTAAGATATTAAATATTAACTGCGCTACATATTCGCTAAACTCTATACTTTCGATAGTGCCGATAAAAATACAGAGTCACCGAATATTTGAACAAAGTATTTATGTTAAGGGGATCCTATAGTGGCGGTAGTTACCGACATTTTTTCATTTTAAGGAATTTTTGAATTGGCTTTACAGAATTGCAAGTTTTTGGTCTAGAATTAAAGTACGCACAAAAATCTACATCGCGTTGTACGATTTCATATCGGGAACAAAAAAAAATTAAAAATTTTACTAATTTTGGCACATACAACTGTCATCTGACGACAATAACAATATTACTGCAGTTTATATATATATAATGACACCAAGGCGACGTAGGGACAACATGTAGGAACAATATCGTGTAAATAAAACTAAGATTCAACGTCTAGAAAAAAAGATTCCGTAAAATGAAGTTTTATTAAGCAAAAGCACATTTATGTTGACAGAATAAGCAGTATTGCGTGTAGCGAGAGATGGCGCAGCAATCGAACAAAGACAGATGTCTCTGGTTAGACACGGACAGACATAGATATATAACATAGAAAACAGGATTAGAAATGTTGACATTACCGACGTCGAGGAAGTTCGGCCTTTGCTATAGGATCCCCTTAAGGGGATGCTGGAGCCGTTTGTTTTACCGGCATTTTTTGTCGGCACGTAGCGTCGTATTAATTTGACAGAATTAAAAATCCTTCTCCAGAATTGCAGTACATACATTAATGATTCGGGGGAACTCTAATTTTATATAGAAAACGAGAAAAAATTACGGAAGTACAGATTTCCTTATCCTACTTTTATCCCAATATGGCGTCTCGAGTGGCGGCGAGCTAGCTGTCAGCTCGTCACAAGATGTATTTCATATAAGAGATATACCATTGGTACGAACGCTCCCCCGAATTGCACAACAAGAAAAACATCGATAAACCCTCCAAATCAAGATTTGGAAGCGTAATATAAAAGTATAATGTCGACATGCATCGTGCGTATGTGTGCGTGCAATGTAGCGTGCTATCCTTGTCTATATCTTTGTCTATACAAGGACAGATATAGTCGATAACATAGAAAATGGTAATTTTGTCGGTTATACAGACGGCTCCAGCATCCCCTTAAGTTGACTTGAAATGTGGTTTATAGATGAATATTTTTGATGGCGACTTTCAAGGAATTATTTGGCAACGCTGGCGCTGCAAGCTGTGCGCTCATGTCACACTTCATTCATAACGTACGGTTTATTATCAGCTTTTATTTTCACAAATTGTCTCTTATTTTTGCCCACATTACTCCTCACTTTATGTTTCTTATCACTCATTATTATTATAAAATACCTCTTTGATAAAAAGAAAATGTCAAAATATTCTTTAATTATAATGAAATTGACACTTACATTGACACTTTTGTTATCAACTTCACATTTTACAATCGGCGCCCTGAAAAGCGCAGCGTTGCCATATTGTTTGACAGTATTTACCGAAAAATGAAAAATTTCTAAATACACATAATATTTTCACTTTTTTCTTATAATTAAACATAATAATCAATTATAACTTGATTTTATATAAGTTTAATGCAATATACAAGAGTTTTCTGAGGCCCTGCTTAAGCGCCTACAAAATACGCTTCTCCGTGAAAGGAATATACCTTAAGTATAGAATATAACACCAACACCTTATTACGGCTCGATGCTCCATTTTTCTTCGATTAATATATTATTATTGTATTTTCTAAAAATTATAAATACAAATAATAAAAGATTAATTTGTATGGATAAACTTTATAAAATAAGTTATAAAAGTTAAAGTTTTTACATATATTTTTATGACCAATCTCTTAATTTCTCTACGTTGGATGTCTATAGTTAACAAAATTGAAGAGTTATGAAATTAGCGCACTTTGAAACTTTTGACATTTCCACGTACGAGTGCAATGTATTCCACGTAGTAAAATAAAATGCACAAGATCGTGCCATGCTCAACACGATTTGTTCTGTTATTTCCGGGTGACTCAAACAATAATGTCATTAACACAGACATTAACAGAGATATGTTTCGTGATATTTCGATGCGAATCATCAATCTGGCCTTAATTATTATATTGTGTAGTGTATTTTCTAATGTATGTATTAGCTTTGTTAAAGAAAAGGCGTTGTATGCCGTTGACCTAAGTCTACAGTCGTTAGTTTTGCAATTTTTCAAAGATGCATTAACCATTTATCATGGCAATTATCACAATGGAATAATTTCATACAGTAATAGTTGCACTAATAGTTTTCATTTTTTATTTATTTCTTTTCAAATGCAACGTCGAGATAGCGTAATCTTTGTTAAGCATAATCGATAATTGGAGCGATATCGATTCTTTTTACCACTGATACATATATATATAATTTTGAGATTTGACAACCACAAACGACATCATGTCGTGGACAACTCACTTGTGTGCTTTTTTGCTTTTTGCAAGCGGTTCCTTCGCTACGATTCATAATAAGTCATGGTGGAATAATACCGTCTTCTATCAGGTTTATCCGAGAAGTTTGTTTGATACGAATGCTGATGGCATTGGCGACTTGAGGGGTAAGCAATGCCAATTATCATTTGTTATTACGTCTCACACAATAAACAATAAATTGTTGTATTAATTCGTAATATTATATAAGTTTTATCCCATTAATTGTTGCATTTTATATAGTTAATATAAAAACGGTTATTATCAGAAAATTTTAAAGCAAATGTTGTCAAACATACGTAACGTTAGTGACATTTAGAACTGTGTTATTTTACTTTGTCAGGGATAACTTCAAAGTTGGACTATATCGCGAGCACTGGCATTAATGCGATCTGGTTGTCACCCATATACTCAAGTCCCATGATTGATTTTGGATATGACATATCCGATTTCAAAGCCATTGATCCGACTTTTGGTACATTAGAAGACTTCAAAGCTCTTGTAGCGGTCGCTAAGTCACTCGGTTTAAAAGTGAGACCGCTTGCCAATATCATGCCCATTTATAAATAAATTTCTCATGTTATGCCCGTATCTAACAATAAGACAAAGATGTATAAACTTCATTTCTATTTATGTTATTTTAGAAAACATACTATCCTTTATTTTTCACTGTGCTATGTCAGAGAGCTACTTTATAATATTATTCTTATAGGTGGTTCTCGATCTCGTGCCTAATCATACATCTGACAAGCATATATGGTTCCAAAAGGCTCTTGAAGGTCACCCGATATATAAGAACTTTTATGTGTGGGCATACGGCAAAAATAGAGACGGCATAACGCCGCCCAACAATTGGATCAGCGTATTTAGCGATTCCGCGTGGACTTATGTCGAATCACAAAAACAATGGTACCTTCATCAATTCGAGTATAGACAACCTGACTTAAATTACCGTAACCCGTTAGTGAAAATAGAGATGATAGTAAGTAACAGAAAAAATTTTAATTTTTCTCTAATAAGATGTTGCCATATATAATGTTGCACTTTTGGAGAAGACTTGCATAACACAGAACACTTACAATTAGATAACAATTTACAGCTTTAATATACTATAATATTAATACATCATTTTGACATTACTAATATAATTAAATATTATCATTCTTGTTAATATAAACTACTTAGAACTTGATCCGTTCACTCGTTAATCGAGATCTCAACATCTCGAGTACTCGCAACCCGTCGCGTCGCGTAAAAGAGTCACGGTCGGTCTCGCTCCGCGTATACTTGGCACGAGACACTACCGTGTTTCTTGATGCTTAATATAATCTTTGACCCACTGTGATTGCTGCTTTTTTTCGACTCTATATGCAAACACAATAAAATAAATAATGACATAATTCACTACTATACAGTTGGCCATTTCTTAATTTTGTAAGAACATTTCTTAATTGCTAAAATTATCTATTATTTGACTTAAATTGTAAATCTGTTCAATTCAAGATATATATTTCACGTATAGTGCGGGTAAATTAAACTGGAAATTAAATTCATATTATTTTTATAATTAAAGTATATGGAAAGAAATTGAGAAAAAAGTTTAACTGCAGTATTCAGCTTGTATTCTTACAATATTTTTATTATATTCTTAAAATAGGCTTATTCTTAAAATTTTTGATCATATATGATTGCATGGTTATAGAAAGTCTTGAAATTTTGGCTGGACTTGGGTATAGACGGATACCGTGTTGATTCCGCCCCATTTATGTATGAAGACTTATTATTGAGGGATGAACCTAGAACTTACGTGAATGGTACTACGCCGCGAGATTATACGTATTTGAATCATATTTATACTACGGATTTAATCGAGACTTATCAGCTGTTTGGAGGGTGGCGAAAATTCTTGGATTTTTATGCTTTTATACATAATCAAGATCAGAAGGTACATTTTCCGTTTTCTTTTATTAAATCCATTTATTGTGCTTTGTTAATTTTCTTGCACGATGTAAAATGTTTTTTTTCTGATTTAGTTGTTAGTGATGGAAGCATACACCAATTTTGAGCATACTATGCAATATTACGATTACAACGTGTTGCCTTTTAATTTCATGTTTATTACAAATTTGAACTCAAAATCATCCGCGCAAGATTTTAAACGAGAAATAGATTCTTGGATGAATTCAATGCCAAGTGGTAAGATCGCTAATTGGGTGGTACGTATTCATATGAAATTATTATTATCTTGATCAAATACCTTGAACAAATATCATAAATAAATTGCGTTTTATCTTTGCAAACCCAGCAAGATATTTAAATTACTCTAAATTTATTGTGATTTAAATGGCGATGTGTGAATTTGGCTTATTTGTTAAACTGGATACGTTATATATGTTATTTTTAAAGGAAAGTATACTCTTTCATGACAATAAAAAAATACTTGGATTATACATTAGAAGAAATTTTTGTTTAAGTGCATATATGTAGATTTGGCAAATTTTATCATTTTATTAATTTCATAAAAAATATCTAAATTTCAAGTTAATATAACCTCTTAATATTTTAACTATATATATAAAAATCTTTAAACATTTTTGAAAGATCTTAAAATTGCTGAAGAATCTGTAACAGCTCTTATCTGTCTCGCGCGTTACATAAAAATAAAATATCAGTTGCTTCTTTTACATAAGCAAAGTTAAAATATAATATAAATTTCTTTCAGTTAGGCAATCATGATAATCCGCGTGTTGCCTCTCGTTATCCTGACAAATCGGACCAAATGACCATGTTGTCTATGATCTTGCCGGGTTTGGCGGTAACGTATAACGGCGATGAAATCGGCATGGTGGACAAAAGAGATATATCCTGGGAAGACACGAAAGATCCTCAGGCGTGCAATGCGGGTCAAGCGCAATACAATAGTGTGTCCCGCGATCCTGAACGCACGCCATTCCAATGGGACGCAACGAAGAATGCAGGTAAAAGACAAATTCGTGTCTCTAGTGTGTTTAATCTTTTAAGGGCCTTTGTACATATATACATTATTATGTACATACATTCACTTTGAGCTCTTCTCAAATTTCCTCTGTTGGTAAAATAGTGATTCCGTCGGTATAATATTATCAATTCATCCTAGATGGAGCTAAAAAAAACTAAAAAAAAAACTAAAAAAATAAAAAACTTATCAGGGACGTTTTTTAAGATTATCTTATAAATTATAACATTTTACTCCAACGGGATCGATGTATGGCCTCTAAAGGGTTAGTAAAAACGGATAATATACTTTTCTATACTTTTCTATTTAATTATTTCTCGTTACGGCAGGTTTTAGCACGGCAAATTCGACGTGGCTTCCGGTAAATCAGAATTACAAGCAGTTGAATCTGGCGAAGCAGATGAAAGCTAAGGAATCACATTATAAGATTTATAAGACCTTAGCCTTCTTGCACCGTACGGAGCCGGCTCTTACCGAAGGAAGTTATAAATCGATCACGACAAACAATGACACTGTTCTGGTTGTAATTCGAAACAATGGTTGCCGCGTCGTGGTGCTTCTGATTAACTTCTGCGGCGATAAATCTCAATTTGTCGATCTGTCACAAGAAGGTCTTCCTTCGAAACTGTTGGTCAAAGTCGCCAATTTGGGTTCTAAAGTGAAAGCTGGGTATGATTTACGTATTTCTTGAAATTGTTTACGTATAAATAAGTAAATAATAGTATAACTGTGTTTATTTAATACTTATTATGATTTTTTTTATTCTGCCAACATAATTTTCTGTCAACGTGTAATTTGCTTTCTAATTTCTTGGTACAGTTATTTTCGATGGTATCTTATTGAAGATCTAATGATAGAAACGTTTAGATATTGTTATTGATAAAAATTAATTTTTGTATTTTAATTAATTGTTTGTGTACATACAAAACATATGTTGCAAAAAATGCAATTATTTGAAAAATGTTTGCAAGAAAATTGTTTTTTAGATTTTTTAAAGAAATTATTACTTATAATAGTTTTATGATATTAAAAGTGAAATTTATATTTTCTGTAGATTTAATATAATACTTAATGATAATATTATAATTCACGTTTGTATTCTTTTGAATTTAGGAAACTGGTTGATGTAAACAAGCTACCTTTACCTGCGAAAGCTGCTATAGTGTACACGAGCGTATAAATATATTATTTCCGAAATATATCTATCTTTTTTACAAAAGTTTCCAGTTGCACTTGAAAATTGTAATCTTTCTTGTAATAAGAAAAAATAAATAAAATAATCTTAATTGACTATGTGGCTATTATTATTAAATTAATTTTTTATACAAATTTTTGGCATATTTATGTATCTATAATTGGAATTTTTACTTAATTATTAATAATTTGTATATATTGTCACGACTTTTTACCCGTTCGGGCGCAAAGCCGGATCAAAAGGGAGTTGCGGGAGAGTAGGATGTCAGGCCTCTCCGACGGATCTCTCGCACGAACCGAATTTCTAACGCGAACGTGAGTGTTGGGCGCCAGACGCGGTATCCCGCGTCCACTAACGCGAAATTTATCACAAATTATCAAAACGTTTATCGTAATTAAACGGCGTGCGAGAAATCGACCAGCTCGGCGTATTACTCAGGGACGAAGGTGGTATAGGGCAGCGCGAATTGTGACGGGCGACACAGAAATTACGAACTCAAACGATTAATAACAAAAGAGATTAACATTTATTGCAAAGAAAAAAAAACAATTAGCTCACGAGATTGCTCTAATAAATTAAAGAACCGTTGATTCATCTCTCACAAAAGCGAAATCATATAGACGTGAATAATCGTGAGCGTGGAAGAATAAATCAAAAATCGCTACAACCAGGAAAATAATAACTCCGAAAACAAGTCAAAATTTTACGCGATCTCAGACGCCAAGTTTACTCCAGAAAGTACGCAGGGTCGCGATTGTTCAGAATGCTGTCGCCAGGATAGCGTATCCCCGAAATACGAGGCGCAATATAACACAACGACGGGCCAATAATCAAGCCCGAACGCGACAGGTAACGCGAAATATTTAGGTTTTATCGCGCCGAGGAAATCATCAGCGCGAGAAGAATATCGTACTCAATCTAACGAACTTTTACGTGACATACGCCCTACGCAAAAGAGTACTTAATTCAACGCGAAAGAAAGAGTAATTTCCGAGGAGAATAGCGCTAAACCAGCGCGAGACTACACAACGCAATAATGTCTTGACGGATTTACAGACTAACGCGAAATAAACTAAATCTAACGCAAGAGATGACGAACTTACATACCAACGCAATGTACAACTAAATCTACGCAGGGGAAAATATCTACACGAGGAAAACGCGAAGTTGACCGCGAGCACACTAGATTACTGAAACGGCGTAACGCGAAAGCATCCTTCTCGACGAATAAACTACGATCACGAGAGTCGCGCGTGACGCACCGCCGGGTAATACGCGATCGCAACCACAGATACCGTAAGAATGTTCGCGAATTACCGAATCGAGATATCTATCGCGATCTCCAGGACTTTCACGCGATGAGTACTATTCACTGGCCACGAGACCATTCCAAAGCCCTTCGCTCTCGCTCTCGATCGCAGATGCAAAATTACGAGATCTCAATTACGCGAGTACTTTAGGCGAGAGCGGGGCCCGGAGGGCGGTGTCGTGGCTTACATTACTACCGTCTATTACGAGGCAACCTCACCGGTAAGATACTTCCTCGGTCGGGGTTGTCCTCTCCGCCGTCACCAAAAACCGTCGCGAGAGAATCAGGCACCAAGTGCGCAGCAAGAGTCGGTCGAGAAGCGCTCAAGAAAGCCGTGCGTGTCGTCCCGAGGGTGGCTCAAGAATGATCGCGGAAGTGCGCTCGATAGAGGCGTCGATCTAACGCCCCTAGCGGGACATGCGCGACCCTTCCGCGCGATAAGCGGACCAATTGGCGATGAGCTCGCAAGCTCGCGAGGGAGCCGCTCGCAGGGTTATCGACCGTGGATTCGGCGGGGCGTTCGAACGTGCCCTTCGCGCTCGCGGGGTCCTTCCAGGTTTCCCCGTTGTAGTAGGCAAGGCGATGACTCCCGCGGTGTCCTCTGGCTCGACTCGGGGGCGGTGGCCATCCACCCCCAGAGTCCGTCTGGCCTCGGAGGACTGCAGACAGGCCCGGCGCCGGGCCCCTGCGATGCACAGGTTCGCCTGCCGTTGCTGGCGCGCAGCGCGCGCGTCTCACGTCGTCCCTCGCTTAGTAGCGGTCCTCGTAACTCGGGCTCCTCGCCCTCGACATCTCGCTTTCGGTCCTTGTGATTCCGTTTATCATCCGGCTCTCCTTGTACTCCTCGTCATCTTCAGTGTGGCGTTGGAACTCCAACTCGACGGGGTGAGGCGCCACGCAATATCGCAAGAGAAAAAAAAAACAATAATGAGTATTTGAATCGCAACTTTAATACGCCCCTGGAGATCGAAGGTTGATTCGTGAGCCGTCCTCGGGCGCGCAATCCGCGCCTTGTGACGGCGGCGGAGCGCTGCCACGCCGCGGCGAAACCGCAACGTCACAATATATATATATATATATATATATATATATATATATATATATATATA